CTTTCTTCCAACCCTTCAGTTTTAATTTCCATCAGCAAAAGCAAGTGAAAGGTCACAGCTTACAAAAACAACAAAGCATAAAGTGCTCAGTGTGGCATTAGAGACGGGCAGCAGTGCCAGGCCTGAGCGCTGGGCAGCTTAAGCCCGACAAACAGCTATGGACAGACCAGAAGGCGGAGGTGTGTCCCCACTCCCTCCTCATCCCCAGGCTGAGAAGATGGGGAGGAGTCCCTGCCCAGGGACCCTTTCCCTGTGTCCAGGGGAACTTGGATCCCCTTCCCCCAGGGACCCTATCCAACAGGGTCACTGCCTCTGCTCCATGTTCCTTCAGTGGTGGTGGTGCTTGGGGTGGAGGGTTGAGAGCGCAGGAAAGGGTCGTTAGGACCTGCCCCCAGCTGGGTTCTGATGTGTTCTCTTGTGGTCTGACTGGTGTGCAGAATGAGCACAGGGGAGGAGTCACAGGCTCTGCTTGGAAAGCTTTCAGGAACGGGCGACATCTGAATGGGGTTCTGAAGCACAAATAGAAGTTCGCCAGGCAGATGATGAGGGAAAGGTATTCCATGTCAAGGGACCAGCAGACTTAAAGGCATGAATGCATTACATATCTCTCCCCTCCCCCCCACCCCTTGTATTCCTGCCTCTGCTGATTCTCTGGGCAGATACTGTCATGGGTGGGATGACTAGACAACAGATTGTAGCATTAGGAAGCTGATGCCACTCCTTTCCAGACCCAGGGGCAAACACTCTGTGGACCAGGAGTGCTGACCCCACCCTGCAGTAGGAAGCTGGGGCCTTTGTGAAGGCCACTGCGCCCACCCAGTGGGCTCGGGGTCTCTCGCCTTTGAGGTGGAGAGCCTCGCCCAGAGGCACTGACCACAGAGAAGGGAGAGCACAGCCTGCTCTCCCCCCGTGGGCGCTGCTGCCCTCTCCGAGCCTGAGGCCAGCCCTGAGTGGTACCCGCTTAAGGCCCCTCCAGACTTCCTTCATCTGACCTCTGGTACTGGCCTTGCATGTGCCAGTATTCCGGTAAGGTCGGGAGTAGGGAGAGCACCTTCTTGCCCCGCCCCCTTGCATCTGTTCTTCCACGTCCACCCCTCCACCCCTTACTCATTGAGCACCTCGATGTTAAGCACCTGCTCTGCCGCAGGCCCTGCCCTAGCTGCTGGAAACATAGGGTGAACCAGGCACCTGTCCGGCAGAGGAGCAAACAGGGCCCCAAATGGATGGAAGGACCCACAGGGCTCCTCGGGCCAGGCCCTTGCTAGGATCCCGGCGGCACACGTCAGGACAAGAGGGCCGCGGAGCTCACCAGTCCAGCTGCCAAGCACAGGCACCAGGGCTCCAGGATCCATGTCCGAACCTGTGCTCACCACACCTCAGGGCCGTGGCTGCCCCAGCCAGGCCCTCCCTGAGTCCCTGGGAGCCTCTTGCCTCCTGCCATCACATTACCCCACCAGACTTAGAGCTTGCACTGCAGATAAAACATACCCTTATCACTCACAAGCGAATTGTAAATGTTATCTATTAAAGCACTTTGGATGTGAAATGTCATGTAAATTAATAGGATTTTAGAATAGGAAGGCACCAAAGGGAGTTCTCAGCTCCGCTACTGTTATTACCTTGAGCAATAATAATAAAAATAGAAATAAAAGTTATCATTCCACTTACTAAGCCATTACCGAGTGCCAGACAACCGTGCTGAGCACCCAGCGCCGTCCTCTCACCGAATCTCACGGCAGCCCGGCGAGGAGACGTCACGAACCAGGTTTACAGAGGAGCCACACAAGGCCGCTGCCCGGCTGCAGTCGTGGCAGATGGGACGCTGCAGGTGCCACGTGGGGGCAGGGGCCGGGCCTCGCCCACTCTGGGCCTCAGGACTCAGGGGCAGCAGGCCCCCCGTTTGGCTCCCTAGCACCTCCGAGTCGGAAGGGATCTGGGCAAGCGCACACCTTCCATGCCGGGCCCTCACCCATGGTCTGCACCTGCCTCTGCTGGGAATTTCCCTTTGTTTTCAAAGGATGCTCCCTGGCTTCCTCTTCTGTGCTTCTAAGACCCCTTTCATCCAAACAGAGGCCCCCTGACAACAAAAGGTCACAAAACCTCGCGAAGCTTGTGTAACAGTGTACCTTCCCTTCATCCCCATCTAAATGCCTAAAGAAATGTATGTTATGTAAAAAGTCAGCCAGACAGCAGTTGCATTGAGAAATATTTGGGGCCACTTCTGTGCCATCCCTCTGCTGTAGGTGCCAGCACCCTTGGGCGCTTGGCCCCAGAACCTCTCAGCTCCCTGAAGCAACAGAGAGGATCCAGGACCCTTCTCATGGCCTCTCCGCCTCCCTCTCCAGAGCGACATTAGCCAGGCTCCGGCCGAGGGCCAGGCCCTGGCAGCCCTCACTCCCCTGCACCCCTGGCCCCAGCAGCGACTCCCAGCTCCCTCCTCTGGCCGGGCCTCCGTGGGAACGGCACTGTCGGTATCCTCGGTGAATGTCAGGCTTGCTTCTAAAACTGTGGAAATCAGATTTCTGTTTTGAATGCCAGGAACTCGAGGTTTTTGTGGTGTGTTTTTCCCCCAAATAGACATATGTCTGCTTCCCTCCATGCTAAATTATACAGTTTGATCATCTCAGTGTGTAGCTTTGGTTATCAATTGCCCCTCTTCATGTCCTCTGTTCTGTTCCGAACCCCTGGGCTCTCTCACTCCAAAAATGTATCATATAACTTTTCCTTTCTCACCCCACCGCAGCCCATCCCAGTGAGCCGCGCCCGCCAAGGCAGCAAGCCCACCCTCCTTGCAGGAAAAAGGAGTCGGTTACTCAGGGCCCAGAGAGGTGACACCCAAGTCACCTGGCGAGGCTGGCGCTGAAGCCAGGCTTTGAGCCTTCTGTTACCCCACTGGAGGGACACAGCAGCTCCAGGGGACCAAATCGGGTCTGACTGCTCTTAAGCAATGCCAGCCGCCCCGAGGCGTGGGGCCTGCCCATGCCTGGAATCCCACCATTCGTGCTTCATTCCTTTGTATCCAGGCATTTGCTTCTTTAATGCAAGGTTCCCGAATAGGAGGCACATACTACATTCCTAATACCTAAGTTCCCAGTAGGCACCCTAGAGCACTGAGGCCCCGAGAGTTTTTTCAGCAAAATAGTTTTCCCCTTTCTGCCTGATTTATTGCGAAGAAATGGGAAGATCAGACGACCAGGGTCGTGCCAGCCGCTTGGCCCAGCTGTTCTTAGAGCTGAACAGAAGCATGCACGTTCTCATTTGAGCTCTGGCAAGTGAGCCCCACTAAAATGACATCATGATGGTGGGACAGGATAACTGATGACACACCACTGCCATCAGTAAGGAATTCAAGGCCCCTGTATGTTCGACCATCTGACCGCGTGGCCCAGCATGCAGGAGGTGGAACAGCGCTGTACGGGGGAGAATCCTGTCTTGAAGGCAGGGCAGATGGCTGGAAAGAGGGTGACAGTGAGGCTGCAGGTGGATGGCAGGGAGCCGGGGGCGGGGCCGGGAGGACGCTGTGTGGTGGGGCCGTGGCCCTGTGCTGCTGAGAGAGCTGTGGGCTCGCTCAGGGTGAGGGGCAGACTGGGTGGCCCTCCACTCCCAGTCCTTCCTTGCACCTGTCACTCACTCCGTTCAGCCCCTTTTGATGGAGATTACATTCCAGCCCTTAGCAATGTGATGCCGTCTCCAGCAGCCTTTATCTGAGATTAAGGATAATGGATTTCCCTGGATATGTTTTTTCCCCTCCTCTTTCTCCTGGACTTTTCATCCAAAATGCGCTCAACTCCAGAAAATGGACCTTTGGTTTAGTCTCTTTATTGACTAAACTCCCCTCCCCCAGTCCTGCCTCCCCGCCCCCCACCCTTTCCCCACCTCCACCACCACCTTGTCACACTTCCAAGGAAACCTGCTTCCTGAGAGAATCCCTGGGCCTTGCTGCTCCCAGCGCCTTCCTCCTCCTCCCCTTCCTCCTCCCTCTCCCCTTCCTCCCCCTCCTCCTTCAGTCCGTGCTCTCTGCCTGCAGGGACCTGGCGAGCTGAGACTTGGGACAGGGAGAAATAACCTGACTTCCTCCTTATTTTCCTTCAGCACATTCGCCAGCACCCACATCTTCAGAAACCTAGATCCTGCCCGGAAGAAATGGGGAGAGGCCTTGGTGGGGAGCCCCTTCCTTGGTGCCCCGCAGGGGGAGGGAGCAGCCTCCGGGCGGGCGCCTGTGGTCCTCACAGGAGCTGGGAGACCCAGTCCAGCCGCAGGGTCCACCGTGTGTGTACATTGACTTCACCTGGATCTTTCTTTTTCCCCCTTCAACAGCCCTATTACCATATTTAAATGCAAGTATGTTTCTTTTCATTGGCATTTGCAGTAGCTTAGCCTGACCTTCTTAGAGTAGCTCGTTCCGTTTGAACTTCTTTCCCCCCAGTAGTTCCGTGTAGCTAGGACGGTAGTCTTAGAGTTTAGTGGGCTTCTAGTTTTCTGTTTGGGGATGGTTCCTCTCTCCTTCCTGTTCTCCCTGCTCCCTGCCCGTGGTGCATGTCTTCCCCTCAGTCCTGGGCAGATGCCTTATTGGGAGGCTCTGTGGCCAGCGCCCAGCAGCTCTGTGGGGTTGTGCGCTCCATGCTGCTGCCTCTGGCACATCATTTAAAACCCGTCCCTGGGAATGCGTCTTGGAATCGGGCCTCCAGTGTCTGCCTGGATGGAGAGGCTGTTTGTGTCACGTGTGTGGGAGTATGTCTGTGTGTGTCCCAGTGCCCGGCTGTGTGCACATCGAGTGGCCAAGGGAAGCCCAGGGCAGGAGGCTGGCCCACCGCTTCCCTTACCCGGATGTTCTGCCGCCACACTGGGTCACCTTGTCCTCTTAGTCCCGTTGCTGGGATAGCCTTGCTTCCTGGTGCAGTATTCGATAGCATAAGCCTCGTTCAAGAAGGTTCTAGAACACACTTGATCAAAACCCCAGGAGGCCCTGCAGTGCCGGCTAGATAAGAGCCAGATCTAAATCCCCACCACTCTGCCTGAGAGAGAGAGAGAGAGAGAGAGAGAGAGAGAGCGCTACAGATCAGTTCGGCTCAGTGGATAGAGCAAGGGTCCCGGGTTCGATTCTGGTCAAGGGCATATACCTTGGTTGTGGACAGCTCGCTCCGCATCTTTCCCGAGGCCCCACGCTCCCGCCCACCGCAGGCTTCATGCACACGAGGTCAGCAGGACCCCAGGATACCCCCCCCCCACCTTAGGCCCGGGGCAGCCATGCGGCTGAGGTGACCAAGTCTGGCATTAAGATGGCCCAGCAAACCTGCAGAGCCTTCGGAAAACAGCTGGAGTCAAGCCGTCTCCTGGCCAAGGTGCCTCTTCGTGTGCCTGTTCGTCCCCAGGGCCTCCTGCCTGTGGCTCAGGGCGGACGCTCCCTGCAGGCAGCCCAGCCATGCCTGGTCCTGCTCTGGCCAATCCTGGGAATGGCCAGGGGTCAGTGCCAAGCTTGCCCCAGGAGCTCGCCCCAGGGAGCTCACCCCAGCTCTCCAGAGAAGGGGCCTCCTCATCCTCCGGGATGCCTTTTAGAACCAGTTTCCGGGGTGACAGGTGTGTGAGCATCTGACACACCTGCAGCTGCTGTGCCTTCCAGAAGCCTGAGAAGTCACTGATCTGTGTCCCCCTAGAAGCTGGCCCGTCCTTTGTGTGGAGGGCGGGGGAGGGTGGCCTGGGAGACAGGGCTGCCCACAGCCCCTGCAAGAAACCCCCCACCCCCCCTGACTCCAGCGCCTCTCTCTCCGCCAGGCTTCCCAGCAGCGGCTTACGGACCAGTGGCAGCAGCGGCGGTGGCGGCGGCAAGAGGATCAGGTAGGAAGGTGTATGGGACAGGCGGCTCCCAGCATGCCCCAGTGTGCAGGGGAAGGTAAAGGCCCTGTCGGATCTGTGTGGCTGCAGCTGTCCCCTACTCTCACCACAGCCCGGAGGGCGGGACAGGGAGGCTCGGGCCAGGCCCTGCCACCCAGGGCACCTCCCAGCCAGGGTCGGTCACGGGACTGCAAACCAAAGGTAGATGATTATCCTGTCACTGCAAAAAGGAGAAACGAGTTGCTCTTCGGCTTTGGACAGCCCTTCGCCTGACAGCCGGCTCCCGGGCACCTGTGGTCATTCCCTCGGCTTTTGCTGGTTCGCAAGGCTCCTTTCCTTGGGTCTCTGACCCAGCCCGCGGTCTAGGTTGTCACGGGGGAGCTCGACCTTGGAGCAGCGAGTCTACTCGGTCCTGCTGCCCCTGGCAGGTGGGCCTGCTGATCTGGCTAAAGGCCAAACTGGGGGCAGCCCTGACCTCAGCGAACGAGCTGCAATCCCTGAAGTCCCTGCTGCCTCCCAGACACTCTTAGCAGAGACAAGAGAGCTCCTGGACTCCGGCTGCCAAGGGAAGCGGGGTTTTCTCGCCCAGGAGGTTGCCCCGGCCCTTTGGTCTCCAAAGCCAGCCTTTTAGGAGGTCTGGAACCCCTCAAGGGAAGTGGGAGCATTTTCCCAGGGGCACCATGGGCACGTCCAGGCCCCAGGAAGGCCTTGGGTCCTCTCCCCAGATGCCCCAGACGCCCACTGCCTCCCAGCAAGGCTCCTGGCCTCCCCCACCTCCCTCTTGGGCACCTAGAGTCCCTGCTCCTCCTAAACCGTGGTTTGCAGCTCCCCCCACACCCTGTGGACCGGGCTCCAGAGCATCCAGGGGGGTGATTAGTTTGATGTTACAGGGCTCCCAGGCGGGCGGGGAGGGAGGTGCTGGTGAGGGTACCGGGAAATGGGGAATTAAAAGCCCAGAGGGCAAATGCCAAAAACCCAAACCTCTGTGACAAGACACTGGCACAGTGAGGCCCATTAGAAACCTCAGTCAAAATCCGTTCCATGCAAACTGGCACTGCCTCGAGCTACAAAGGATGCGCTCCTGTGAATCGCCCGCTGGGCATTTATGTGGAGGGGCCAGGGTGTTCTCGGGGCCACAGAGGGCAGTTCGCCAGAGATCCGGCCGCCCTCGCGGCTCCAAAGGCCCCCCCTGGCCCTCTGACCAGCGTCCCTGTGCGCCCCCTGCCCTGGGACGGGGGACACAGCTGCCTCGAGTCCCCCTGTTCTGTTTGGATTTTTAACTTCAGTGCTTTAGGAGCGAACCTCTGCCCTACCGGTGCCTGGTGGGGGGACGAGCAAAAGGAAACGAGACTTTTGAGTGTTGTTGGTTTTGTTTTCTCCGTTCAGTTTCTTTCTTATTATAACTTGGATTATGAAACTAAACTTTAACCCGAAATTAACCCTGCCTCTCTCCCCACCCCATCCTTCCCGACTTCATGGCAAGTTTAAAGGGCAGCATGGGGTTCTTTGTGAGTCAGAGTGGTCTCCCCGTGGTCTGGGCCCCCTGCCGCCACCCTCACCTCCCACAGACCCCGAGCCAGGCTGGAGTCCCACCCACCCCTCTAACTCCTAACCCCCAGGTCAGAGCCATCTCCAACCACACCTTTTGTTTTTTCAGGATCAGTGGTGTTTTATTTGTAGCCATTTCCATCGGGAACGCAGTCTCCCACAGGCCATCCTAAGTCAGCCATGCTCATCGCTGCACTGCTAGTGAACTCTATTCAGGAGTGTGTGCCCCGACCACTGCCCCACACCAGCCTGGTAGAGCAGGAGTAAATCCTCAACTCCGAGGTGTCGCCCCCCAGAGTGCGGGCTCCGCCAGGAAGCTACAGGCACCCCCACAGCGCTGCCTGGGGTTGGGGGCTTGGGCTGTGCCCAAGGGGCATGGCTAGCCTGTGCCCACCTAATCAGAACACCCCCTGCTGGAGGGCACCTGCCCATGTATAGACAGGGTGGCCCGCCCCTACCCTTCCTTCGGACCTGGAGCAGGGTTACAGGGCTGGGGAAGGAAGATCTCTGCCTTTCTTTCTTTCAGTGAATGTTGGCCTGTAAGGACCACCCCCTCCCTCTTCTAAAAATGATCTAAAGTCCGAACCTGGCAGACAGCCCACGACTTACCTGTCTGTAGTGGCCCCTCGGTGGCACTTGGGCACAGGTGTGAGAGGACCACACAGACTTGTTGGGGTCTGCACATCGGCCCAGCCAGCGGGGGCTCACTGAGGACTGATGGTCAGGTTCTCCCTTCACCCATGCCTGCAACCCTGCACCCCACCCATCCCAGCTCCTCCCCAGAGGGTAGGGGTGCTCCCTCGGCCTCCTGAGCCAGCGCCAGCGCCAGCACCAGCGCCAGCAGCCTTGGCCATTGAGGGAGTCACAGTTCATCTGCATCCCCTGGAGAGGAGGCTGGTTCAGGGAGACGCTGTGGGGCACCGACCTGGAGCTTGGTGCCGTGCAGGACTGGCAGACGACTTAGAGCCAGGGCTCTCGGGCCTGGGGCCGGGGTCAGGCATCCCCTACGTTTGTCTTTCCTTTTTGTCTAGTCCCACAGTTTTGTTTGGGCCGTTTGTTTCATTAGGACAAAGGGGGAGGAGCCTCCTGAGGCGGAAGCACCTGCTGAGGCTGTGGGGGTGGGAAGCAGCTTCCATTGGGCTCAGGTTGGCAGCTGGAATGGGTCAGGGCTTCGGTGTCAGGGTAGGAGGCCCAGGGGGCCTTGAGCTCTGCGCCCACCTCAGCCAGCTCCTCTGGGCCAGCCTGCCCGCCTTTGCCTAATCCACCCAGGGCCTGAGGTGAGCGGGGCGCAGGTGACCCCTCCAGGGGAGGTCCCTGCCGACTCCTCGATAACTTCACTATCAGTGGTCACTTTTCTTTTATCTTCACCCGGTGGTTTGAAATGTCATCTTTTCTTGTACTCAGTCAAGAGTTTGTTTGTTTATTTTGATCGTGTTCATTCAGTTCCCGTGGCCCCATCATGCCCCACCCAGACCTCAGTCCTGTTTGCCAACGACTCCCCCCATTGGTTTGGATTGGCATCTATTTCCTTTCCGGGTGGCATTACGGGTGGGCCCGTGGATCAATCTTAGAGCTTCCCCGCCCACCTCCGGCCCCAGCCAGGACCCCTTACTGTACTTTATACTTGCCAGCTTTATTCCAATGTAGTAACATGAGCTCCTGACGGTGGTGAGTGTGAGAGTCACGTTTCTGTTGTCTTTTCTCTTGCTTGGTTGGGGCTGCGGTGAGAGTGTCTCTGAGGCATACTTTCCCGCCTCTCTTACACTAGGATCTGCACACCTCCTCTCAAACACTCTTCTGAGCACGCTCAGCGGGAAGGTTTGTCCACACCTATTAATCCTCTCTCAGTGTCCAGCTTCCTGTTAGTACCAGCTGGTTTGCATGTTTTTGCTTGTTCAGATGAAACAGTTCAAGAAACAAACTCATATCCAACTCTCGAGAAATGTCTTTTTTTTTTTGTACTTTCGTTTTCGATTTTTTTTTTATTAGTTACGACTCCAAAACACCTGTTGTCCAGTAAAACATTTCACACCTCCCTGCCTGTTCTTAGAGTGTATGTATCTGTGGGACTGAACTAAATGCATGCATTGTAGTCGATGTCCTGGTAGCTGTAGCCGTAGTTGTAGAACATGCATTGTTGAGTTGATATTACAGGGTCCCTGACAGCGCGGCATGGCACCGCTGTCTGAAGGAGAGCGTGGGGGGGCCAGGAAGAGAAGGGGCTCCATATTTTCAATGTCGCCAAGGGGCTTGGATCCATGTTCTCGCCATCAGCCACCACCACCTCCCCTCACACTCCCTGCTCCCCCAGTCCAGAACTGGGTCACCACCCTCAGCTCTAGCCTTCCCAACTGAGGCCTCTGTCACGTGCCCAACGATAGTGAGAGAGAACAGAGCCAGATCAGAAGGAGTCTTCCAGCTCTTCCTCTTCTTGTCTTCCTCGTACGGTTCTTGAACACAGCAGATCTTTTCTTCCTTCTGAGGGGCTACCAGCAAGGCCCCTCCAAGCCCTCTGCCCCTTTGCCAGCTCACATCAGCCCTTCAAGGAGACAGGTCCATGTGGCAGCCCTGCCTACGTGGTCTCCTCCCTGGGGTGGAGGGAAGTGGCTGTGGCAGGGGCAGGGATCAAGATCTTCAGATGCTCAGTGTGAAGGCAGGGAAAGTCAGCATTGGTTCTCCCGGCGGGTGAAGGGGAAGGAGAGCCTTTAGATGAGCTCTCAGGGGTGGGGCGAGTGGGTGAGAGTGGACATG